TATTTCTGTGCTAAAATTTATTATTTCCTCACTTCTACTGGCTTTGGGCTTTGTTCTTATTTTTCTAGCTCCTCTAGGTATAAGTCTAGATCATTTGAGATTTTTCTTGGTTTTTGAGTAGGCCTATAATTGCTATGAACTTCCCTCTTAGAACAGCTTTTGCTGCATACTAAAGATTTTACACTGTTGTGTTTTCATTGTCAGATGTTCTCCACGTATCTTTTTTATTTCCTCTTTGATTTCTTGACTGACCCATTCATTGTTTAGTAGCATGTTATTTAGCAATCATGTATTTGTGGTCTTTGCAGATTTTTTCTTGTGATTGATTTCTTGTTTTATACTGTTGTGGTTGGAAAAGATATATGATATGATTTCAATCTTTTTGAATTTACGGAGGTTTATTTTGTGGTGTAATATGCGATCTATTCTGGAAAATGTTCCATATCTTCTTGAAAAAAATATATGTATATCCTATTTTTAGATGGAATGTTCTGTACATATCTATTAGGTCCATACGGTCTAATGTGTCATTAAAAGCCACTGTATTCTTGTCAATTTCCTGTCTAGATGTTCTATCCATTGACGTATGTGGGTGCTAAAGTCTCCTATTATTATTGTATTATTATCACTATGTCTCTTATGTCTGTTAATAGTTGCTATATGTATTTAGGTGACCCCATATTAGGTGCATAGGTATTTATGATCGTTATATCCTTTTGTTGTTCCCTTTATCACTATGTAGTATCATTCTTTACCTCGTGTTATAGTCTTTGTTTTAAAGTCTATTCTGTCCAATGTAAATATTGCTACCCCAGCTTTCTTTTTGTTTCTGTTTGCATGGTACATGCTTTTCTATCCCTTCACTTTCAATCTGCATGTGTCTTTGGGTCTGAAATGAGTCTCTTACAGGCAGTATATAAATAAGCCTTTTTATCCATTTAGTCACCCTATGTATTTTGATTGGAACATTAGTATACTTACACTTAAAGTAAATATTAATAGATATATACTTATTGCCACTTTACTTGTTTAACAGTTGTTTTGTATTTCTTCTTTCTTCCTTTCTTCTCCTGATCTCTACTCTTGTGGGTTGATGACTTTCTTTAATGTTGTGCTTGAATTCCTTTCTCTGTTTTTTGTGTATAAGTTTTTGATCTATGGTTATGATTAGGTCCAAACATAACATTTTATGTGTATAGCAGTTTATATTACCGTGGCTGCTTAAGTTTGAACTCATTCTAAAGGCACTAAATTTTTATTTTCCCACCATGTTTATGTATATGATGTCACACTTTACATCTTTTTATTTTGTGAATCGTTTGGCTGATTTTTGTAGCTATACTTGATTTTACTGCTTTTGTGTTTTAACCTCCATACTGGTTTAATAAGTTATTAACCTACCTCTTTTATTACACATTAGACTTTATGTGTGAAATTTTTTTCCTTTATAATTTTCTTACTCCTGCTTATTGTCTTTTCCTTCCATTCAAAGAATTCTCTTTAACATTTCTTATAAAATTTAGTGGTCACGAACTCCTTTAACTTTTGTTTGGGAGCCTTTTTATCTCTCCTTCTGTTCTCACTGATAACCTTGCTATGTAGAGTATTCTTGGTTGCAAGTTTTGTTTTTGTTTTTTTCCTTTCAGCACACTGAATATATTATGCCACTCCCTTCTGCCCTACAAAATCTCTGCTGAAAAAATCAGCTGTTACCTACATAGGTTTCCTTTGTATGTAACTGTTTTTTTCTTGTTGCTTTTAAAATTCTCCCTTTATCACTCCTTTTTGCCATTTTATTTTATTTTATTTTTTTAAATTTTTTTTTCAACGTTTTTTATTTATTTTTGGGACAGAGAGAGACAGAGCATGAACGGGGGAGGGGCAGAGAGAGAGGGAGACACAGAATCAGAAACAGGCTCCAGGCTCCGAGCCATCAGCCCAGAGCCCGACGCGGGGCTCGAACTCACGGACCGCGAGATCGTGACCTGGCTGAAGTCGGACGCTCAACCGACTGCGCCACCCAGGCGCCCCTCCTTTTTGCCATTTTAATTAGTATGTGTCCAGATGTAAACCTCCTTGGGTTGAATTTTGTTGGGGGCTCTCTGTGCTTCCTGGATCTGAATATCAATTTCCTTCCACAGATTAGAGAAGTTTTCAGCTATTTTTCTTGAAATAAATTTTCTGTTCCCTTCTTGTTCTCTTCTCTTTGTGAGATCCCTATAATGTGTATATTATTATACTTGATGATGTCATTGAATTACCTTATTGTCATTTTTTAATATTCTCTATTCTTTTAGCCATTCAGCTGGATTGCTTCCCATTACCATGTCTTCCAAATCACTGATCTGTTCTTCTGCCTTCTCCAATCTGCTATTGATTCCCTCTAGTGTATTTTTATGTTTATTTATTTATTTTGAGAGACAATGAGCACATGCAAGCAGCGGATTAGCAGAGAGAACAGGAAAGAGAAAGAATCCCAAGCAGGCTCCACACTGTCAGCACAGAGCGCAACTTGGGACTTGATCCCACAAACCATGAGATCATGACCTGAGCTGAAATCAAAACTACTCAACTGACTAAGCCACTCAGGTGCTCCATCCCTCTAGTGAAGTTTTTATTTCAATCATGGAATTCTTCACCTCTGATTAGTTCTTTTATTAAATATTTTCTACCTCTTTTGTTAAAGTTCTCACTCAATTCATCCACTCTTTTCTCAAGTCCAGTGAATATCTTTATGACCACTACTTTGAATCTTTTATCAGGCACATTGCTTTTCTCTGTTTCATTTGACTCTTTTGTTTTTTTTTTCCTGTTCTATCATTTGGGACATATTCCTATGTTTCCTCATTTTGTCTAATTTTCTGTCTTTGTTTCTGTGTGTTAGGAAAGTCAGCTACATCTCCTGATTTTGAAAGTCATGGCCTTATGAAGAAGAGGCTGTACGGTGTACTGTAGTGCAGTGCTCCCTGTTCACTAGAACCAGGAGCTCCAGAGCTATCTCCTATGTGGGCTGTGTGCACCCTACTGTTGTGGCTGAGTCACGTTTGCCTTCAGTCCATTTGGCTGCAATGACCCATTTTGCCTATTGTAGGCACACCATCGGTTACTATTATTAATAAAAAGAAATAGTAAGTAATTTCAAGTTTGAACATCTATAGTAGCCAATTACAACCTTATTTTGTCTGGCTGTCCTAGTAATTTAAGAGTTACTGTGAGGATTTTAGATAGGTTAGCTAATAGGTAAAGAATACTGGCTTGGAAGCAGATACCAGAGTTCAAGTTGCATTTTTCCAGCTGTGAGGCCTTGCATAAGTTATTTGGCTTCTCTTTGCCACAGTGTCCTCATTTGTATAATGGGGATAATTATGAGAATTAAGTAAGTACATGTAAAGCCTAGAGGCTTGTCTGGCATATAGGACCCACCACATTAATGTTAGCGAGTAGGTGTCACTGTAGAGTTTGGATGGGAGCCTAATAACCATACAGTCACAGCTGGTCATATTCCAGCTCCCCACAAAAGCCCCACAGAAATCCCCTCTGGTCTTATGTGCTTCTGCTCTGCCCAGGCATGCTTCTAGTGCCATGTGTGGACAAGAAAGAGACTGAATGCAACTGAAAGAGAAGACTAAGAAAGAGAAAATGGTGGAAATAAAATAAAATACTATTTCATCACAAGAGACTAGACTTTGAAAGGCAGAGTGCTAGGCCACAACCCAAGGCCCAGCCTCTTAGGTTGTATTTTATCACTAAATACGTGTATGACTTTAAAATATCACAACTTCTCTGCAGCTGTTTTTACTCATCTCTATATTTGAAATTATTACAACTACATGGAAAATTTGTATAAAATTTTATAATTGACAAGGGAGAAGTGCTAAATAACATAATTGTGAAAACCTAGAGTTATGGAATCAAACAGATATGGATCAAATCCCAGCTCTGCCATTCCATCCTGTATAATCTGGTCACTTAACTTCGAAGAGCAGCAATTAAGAAATGATCCTTACAGAATTATTAAAAGTTTAAATAAAACTGTGTAAACACATATAGTTACAGAATCTGATAGCAGAAAGTTTGGCAGTGGTGGTATTCATAAATACTAGCTTTAAAAACATCCTGTGCTCTCTCTGTTGTATGTGATTCATACCATTTGCAAAGGACCCCCCATAACTGGAAACAATATTACCTGAGGGTATTCAGCAAAAGAAGAGAATACTGGTAAAATTATATTATAAAACATTGCCATGAAAAAAATAAAATTATTTACTAAAATACTAACTATGGTTATCAAAATGAGACAAAACTTGGGGCAGTGTTTCTCATTTTATCCTTTCCCACATTTTATACTTTTCTTACAAACATTATATTTTTAACAGTTGATAAAATTACATATGCAATAGAAATAAAACTGTGACTAGAGTTACATGCTGACATTGCCTATCTTGCAGTGCTGTTCAAAGTAGAGCAAACCCGCTGTGCCTGCCTTCTATCTGGTAGCTGCAATAGGAGATATTGCCCCTGGAAAGCCTAGAATTACATGATAGGTTTCTTGAAAAAAATAGTCATGATATCATCTCTCTTATGTGATAAAAGAGAAAACAAATTATTAGACTTTTCTGATAATATGAATAAACACCATTGTCTTGGGTCTGGTCAGTAGTAATAGCATCCTTGCAATCATTCCTACGGGAGTCTCTTTCCTCTGAAATACATCTTTTACATACAGCCCCTAGCTCAGATTAGGTAATTATTTTCCTGTGAACTTAAAAATGATTGCCCAAAGCATAAAGAGGCTAATTTTTTGCCCGTTTTCCAAAAGTAATATGGCCTTAAGTTTGATTTTTGGCTTATTATCCTATTGTATCTACTTTTACTACTGTATTTCATTTCCCAGGTAGATTGAAGTACAATATCAAAACCTTTGGTCATTTTTTCTCTCTGATTGGTATGCATTATTATACCCTATTATTTTCCTTTGAAAATCCTTTTCATATCTCAGATTAACCTAACATACCACCAAAGAGAAAATTTTAAACTCATTGCTCAGATTTCAGGATGCCCACTGAATAATGGGTCACATTAATAGAATGAGGTCATCCAAATGCATGTGGCTCTCTCCTCTCTCCACTCTTCAAGGAAATCTATCAACCTTGCTTTCCTGGTTGCTTTTTATTGGTACTTTGGTGCTCAGGAATTTTCATCACTTTGATCTTTGCAACCAGCTAGTGGTAAGATTTGGACTTTGAGGTAGAAAACTTTGCTTAGTAATACTGAGTCTAATTCACATACTTCAATCCAGCTTTTCCAAAAAGTTTCTTTGGCAGTTATAGGCACTAGCCCAACTAAAATTAATGTAGAACTTTTATTTCTCATTTGTCATTGTTTGTTGAGTATACAATTGCCTCTGAAACCTCAAGGGAAATAGGTGATTTATAAGACATTGTTCTAGCGGTCTTGGGTCACTCTAGCAAAATACTATGTAATAGCATTCTAAAACTCATCTTACACTTACACTTATATTAGCAAAGTTGGCACTTTGTTCTTGCACATCTATTTACTCCTTCAATGTGGCTGATGTGTGAGGTAAACTACGTCATATTATTTATTTATTTATTTTTACCTACAACTAACATGTGGTTGAATGGTTACAATGATCTGCTTTCCCTATTTCCTCTGACCTTGTGTTCATTTTGATTTTTCTCTTCACTCTGAATCCTATGTTTCTTTAGAGAGAGGGTCCTCCTCCACCCAACCCCAACAGTACACACATACACACACGTACACACGCACACACACACACACAATATTTCATACCGTGACTTCTTTCCTTTATGGCAATTATTACAACTTGCACTTTTCTCTTTTTGTTTGTCTGTTTGCTTGATGTTTCTCAGCCTTCCCCACTTCTATGTAAGCACCACAAGGGCTCACTTCCATATGCACAGTCCACACAGCAGTGCCTCTCACGGATAAGGAGCACAATAATAATAAATACATTCTCATCTGAAATCAGGCACCCAAAGCCCCACAGTAGGCAGCCTCAGCTATTTCAATGATGGTAATTTTGAGGGCAAATAAGATTTTTCCTGCTGTTTGTCTTTATTTTTCCTCTAGAGATGGTAGGTATACTTTATTCCTTTTTTAAAAAATGTGGTAAAATATAAAATAACAAAATTTACCATTTTAACTACTTTAAGTGTAAAATTTGGCAGCATTAATTACATTCACAATGTCGTACAACCATCATCACTATCTCCAAAAGCTTTTTATCCCAATTAGAAACTCTTCACCCATTAACCAATAGCTTCCCATTGTCCCTTCCCCAGTTCCTGGTAACATCTAACCTACTTTCTGTCTCTATCAATATACCTATTCTAGATATTTCATATAAGTAGAATAATACAATACTTGACTTTTTGTGTCTAGCTTATTTGTCTTAGCATAATTTTTCAAGGTTTACCCTTGTAGCACGGAATGGAACTTTTTTAATGGCTGGATAATATTCCATTGTAAGGATATACTGCCTTTTGTTCTCAATGGATATTTGAGTTGTTTACACCTGTTGGATATTGTAAAATAGTGCTTTTACAATATCAGTGTATATTTTCAAGTCCCTGTTTTTGAACTTTTGGGTGTGCACCTGGAAGTAGAATTTTATGGTAATGTAGTAACTCTACATTTAACTTTTTGGGGTCCCACCAAACTGTTTTCCACAGAGGCTGCACCATTATGTTCTGGTGAATGTAGTTTAGATTGGCTTTTCTTTAACTGAGCTTATAAATAGGGAATGTATTAAACAAACTATTGAAACAATTGCTCATATACATATATATATATATATATATATATATATGAAATTGTCAAGCAGACAAGAAGAAATATTTTCACCTATGCATTTGAATCTGAAGCACTTATAAGCAAAAATGTGACAAACCAGCAGAGGTATTTAAGACCTATTTCAAGCAAGAAGCCAGTAGCTGAAATATCTATGCACACAAATATGTAGCTACGTAAGTGGGCTTATCACTAAAAAATAAAATGTAGAATATATTTTATTTCAATAAAAGTCCTAAAATTTCATGCAAACTGAAATCTAAAAAACATTTTGGACTTTTTGGTAGCTAGAGAAGAGGGAAGCAAAGAGAAATTCAAAGTCTTCCTGATTTTTAAGTATTAAATCTTCTACTGGAATGAGCATATATCCTAAACTAACAAGTAAACACCTCATCATATTTGGAACAAAATGGTTTCTTTATAAATAGGAACATATTTTTTTCCTAGCCACATCTTGATTTTTCCATGTGACTCACCTGCTCCCAAAGAAATGAAAACGATAAAAATTCACCACACAGAGTCTAATAACAATAAAAAAGGACTGGTCCGCATTGTGTACACAACTCAGCTCCAGGTACAGGGATAACTAGCTGGACTCTGGGGAATCATAAGAAAAAAGATGCATTTTTTAACAAGCCTTTTGTCTATAGGACACTATAATTGCATAGCTTGTGTGGGTGTCTGTATCTTTCTCTATCTATCTGGTGTTTCCTGCTCATTTCCCACTGGAAAAAAAAAAAGTAATAATAAAATAAGCCAGGAAAAATTAAAACAAACAAATTAGCAAACATTTATGTATCTTGGATTCAAAGGTAAAGCTCTCCCTCCCTGATGGAATACTCTAAATGTTTCTATCTGTAGGATTGGCAGTGTGAGTAGTTCATGCATGTACCAACAGGACTTTAGCCTAGGTCACATACTGTACTCAAAAAAGCACTGAGGTTCACAGCCTTGTTCTTTATCCTGGCTGTAATCTAAGAAGCTGCATGATGTTGAGTGAGACACCAATCTCTCCGAGTTTTTTATTTGTAAATTGAGGGGGTTGAACTAGATTGTTGGTTTACACATTGTGTTATCTCAGAAGTTAAAATTAGATGTGAGGCGTTGGTAGTGAATTGGCGGGGCTCTGGGCTCTTTATCCTCACTTCAAATGGTGGTTTTAACTTTAATTGTATGATGCTTTTGGAGTCTGTGCACAATTTTGTTTGGGAGAAGTAAAAGTTCTCTTATTGGAGGTAGTGGTTTGGAACATAGAAATTTGAACTATTTAGTAACAATAAATTCCTTATCCAAGTATGAACTTCACTATTTCCTTAATATAAACCAGATAAACTGATAGCATCTACCAGTTTGGGGGTGCTGGTGAGCAATCATAAGTAACTGCTATGTAGCAGAGTAGTAGAGTGCTCAAAAGTTGAGATTGTGGAGTACAAGACACAATTTTGTTCTTCAACAGTTTTTCTTTTTTTTTTTTGCATCAAGATAGCACATTAAATTATAAGTTTACTTTAGTGCAACTAAAATAATGATAATGCTATACTGACAATTTACTGTCATCAAACAAATCCATGCTTATTATTTTCATAAGGGAGTGGCTTATACTAAGGAGCTTCTTTATTCCCTCATATTTCATGAAAAAAAAAACTACAAGATGGAAATCAAGATGCTCTGATTCTGGTCTTGGGCCCCTAAACTAACTCTATAGTCAAAGACTGGCCTGTGCCCTCTATGCATTTGTCCTATATTTCTGTATATTGTCACATATTTACCATAGTATAATTACAAAAATATAATAAAGCCCTAATAATAATGGAGATACAAACGCCTAAAATTTGGGCATCACAATTGTATAGGAAAAAGACCTGCAAGATCTCTCCATAAGAAAAAGACCATAGAAGTACACTCTGGCTAATCATTTCTCTCTCTCTCTCTCTCTCTCTCTCTGTGTGTGTGTGTGTGTGTGTATATAAATCCAGTTAATCTGTCTACAATTGAGGATAATATATCAGCTCTTAATGTAATATTTGTCAAAGAATAGGTTAGATTTATAATCCTTACAGTTAGAAACATCCATGTCGGTCATTTTGTCCAACATCTTGCTTACCATGAAACCCTTTCCATAGCATCTCTGACCGAGTGTAACTAAATTCAGCACAGAAAATTCCAGACATAGGAAGGATATTCTGTTATCAAATCAGATATCAACTGATTTCAATATCAAATCAGATATCAACTTAAATAAGATCAACTTATTTAAAAAATACAAGCAAACAAAGAACACTTGACAAAATGCACTTCCTTGGATGTGGATTTTACTATCCTAAGACACAGACAAAGCTTCACCCACTGACCAATCATTTACATGACAGTCCCTTCAATGTGTGATGGAGGCTAACATGTTGCCAGGGCTACCTACATGAGCACACAACCTGGGAGTAGAAAGGCAACATGCTTGGTTTAATCCTCTGCCATCACAGTTCTGACAGTCTCATTAATTTTAGAACAATGATCCCACAGCTTGCTTTTACAGTGGGCTTTGCAATTTATGTAGCCAGTTCTGTATGTTTTCTTAAATCATCTGTTCCCAGGTTTAATAATCCCAGTTCTTTCATTCACAGTGGCTTGCATTAGGTAGCTTGAGTTCATTTGTCAATGACCATGTTAGAAGGTGGTGCCCAGAATTAAGCACAGTGTCCTGTGATCAGTGAGGAAATCAGAAAAGTAATTGTGTCTTGTGACAATTATCCCGTCTCCCTGTTCCCACCCACTGGAGACCAAATCTCTAGACTTCTTTGCCTGTTTTGTGCCCAAGAAGGCTTATTCTTAAAGAGGCAGCAATTGGGATCCCTTCTTGCTTGGCTTCCAGTGGGGTTTAGTTTATGGGAAGCAGTAGGAGCGGGTGGTATAGAAGAGAGAGTTCAAGATATTTCTTTCTCCTCCTTTCCCATTTCAGAGCTGCACCTCCCATTTCAGAGCTGCATCCCTCCCTGACTACAGTTCCCTCTGGTTGGCACCCACAGCTCCATATCTCACTGGGCTCATAATACTATTTTCTCTCCTTGTTCCATCAGTTCTAGTGGGTAGCAATGGTTTCCTGCTGTTGCTGGTCCCTTGGTGCTTAACACACATTTATGTGGAGTCTCTTCATTAAAGTATCTTTTTTTGAATCATATGAGGTAAATTCTGTGAATACCCTAAATGATAAACCATAAAGCGTGTAGATGTCATGTGTCCATTAACACAACCAGTTTGCATATGTTTTTGGAAATTTCTCTAAAAGGCTAAGGTTGATTTTCTTTGCTTCACTCAGTAGCTAATCTGTTTCCTTCCATGTTTTCAATCACCATCTGTAGCCTGATAATACTCAAATTTCTATCTTTGGAACAAATTTGCTTCCAGAATCCATTCATTCCAACAAATAAGAAGAAATACTTACTATATGTCAAGTATTCTTCCAAATGCTAGGGATATAGTAGTGACTAGGCACATAAAATTTGATATCCTAATGACGCTTATATTCTTGTGAGGAGTGACAGATAACAAAACAGAGGACTCTGAGCAACTAAATGACATGACTAACATAATTTAAAAGGATCACGCTGGTTGCTGTGTTGAGAATAGACTGTCAGGAGCCAAGGGGAGAAGGCTGGAGAACAGTTAGAGTAATCCAGGTAAAAGGTCATAGAAGTCAGACCATGGTAGGGGAAGCAGGGGTGCTAAGGATAATAATGCCTCAGCATACATCCTACCACCCCTACTGCCTATTCCACTGAACCCCAAGGGAGGAGACATACCCCCCCCAACCCTTCAGCACTTCACTGGTACACCTCAAATAACATGTGAATAACTTCATAATGAATTAAAGGTCAAGAATACCTCAGAAGGACAAGGAAAATAATTTTACTATTTCTTAGCAATATTTATGACCTTTTGTTTTCTCAAACATAAAAAAATGAAATTACAGCAAGCTGCCTACGAAAATTAAAAGGACAGTGAAAAACCTTTTATTGATGATTAAAACTTGTCTAAAATGAAATATGAAGGTGACTGTCATCTTTACTTGCTCTTGGTGTTTAGGTAAGAATAAGAAAATATTCAGGTAATCAAGGTTTTCTCAATAAGATTTACAATGGCTTTTTAAAAAACAACTTTTATGAAAAAGTGAATGTTCACATTTTCCAGAAGATAGTATAATCAAGAATTATAATATTTATGGCACTAGGTATGGCTACCACAACCTACACTCAATAGAATAAAAATATCTTAATTTTGAATTATATTGAGAGCAAAAGAAATTGAGGAGGAGGAAGAAAAGAAGGAGGGTGAGAAGGGGGAAGGAGGGGAACATAGAAACAGCAATACCCTGAAGCAGTTCTCCAAGTTTCCCTATAAAGCTTTTCTAAAGTAACATAAAGTTGTGGTTTTACATAGAAATCATTGAGTGATCCACTCTTTGAAGGGCCTTAATGGAGAACTCACCAAAACATAAGTCCCTCAAAGGCTACTCCCTGCTCCCTGTTGATCCCATTCCTAAATGGTCCTTTACACATGGTAGCTACTCAGCAAATACTAGTCAATGAATAAGTGAATCTAGTCCCTCTGTTTTAAATAAACTAATGAAATATTTAGCATTTATACTTCTACTATTTAATATTTAATTAACAGTTAAATGTTCATACTTCAACTATTCACATATCTAAGCCATTTACACTAAAATGTTATCATCTATTGCTTTTCCATTTATTGTAGCCTTTTGGTCTTTTTCTCAGAAGGCTAAAAC